AAACTCTCTGAGGTGCTCCAGAAATTTCACGAAAATATAGACATTTTACGAAGATTTCGAAAATTGCGAATTTTTCCTGTTTCAACTACTGTATACATTTCCGTCCCGGGCGGAAACGCTGCTATTCAGCTTTTGGCATTCCCGTCAAGACTGTAAAAACTCCGGATATGAGTGAAATGCAATCAATTTTCGCATACCTTGAGCAGCTACGAAGTTATTACTTCGATCAATCTGCAGTGAGTTCCATGAACATCCGTGAGGATACGGTGCTCACCTCTTATCGACCCTTCGCCAAGTACTAACGCTTTTCGCTCTATCCTATTATATTTTGGCCAATATGGCGCTGGAGTTCTGGAAAGGTGAAGTTGCTTTGTTGCTGTTCTCTCTCGGGACGGAAAAAGAGCTTACCCAGTGTTGGCAAAATCGGTCCATAACTTCATCGTAATAACTTCGTATAGCATCTCAAACTCATATAGCTGCTGAAAAGAATATAGACGAGGACTACTGATGGTGAAGACAGTGATCACACTGGCTGCGGGGCGGCTGTGTGATGCTGATGACGTCATTGAAGCCATTGATAAAAAGGCGTTAACGGGTGGCCCTAACCGTATCCCCTAACGCGCTGAGTGGTCTGACTAACCAGTAATGATCGATGAGGGCATGGTGGCATCAGAACCGTACCCCTCAAGCTATTATAATCGCTGCTTTAAACGGGTTGGACAACCATTGTTTTCCTTCCTTCCATCTTTCTTCTTGCATTTATACTACATTCTGGAATGCTGACTTAGTAAGGCCACAGCTAGAGACGGACAGTGGTGTAGTGGTAAGTGACGCCTGCTACACTGCGCGCGTCGAGGTATCGAATTGTGAGTGACGCATCGTCTGAGCCATCGAAACTTTCCATCCCTTCGCGATCGCTTAAATGGTACCAAACCTGTCTGGGAGGATGAAAAACGCTGATTTGTACATCATAGGCTGGCCACGGTTAGTCATTATAAAGGCCAAATCGCGCTCAAATTGCCATTACGGTTCTGAATGAAAGCAGAATGCGTCGGCACATCTTAAAGGGGGTGGGAGTTACGCCGAATGCGTCTATTCCTTTATCCTGCCAAAAGCACAAGTTGCGACAAGTTAATGCGGTTCGCGATTCGGGAAGGAAGTGACGGTGGAAGTGTGCTACTAGTATAGAAAAAAAGATTAGAAGTATTCGGCGACAGTGAATTAGGGACCCCTTCTTCTTAGATTGTTGTATCCTTATGTTTGGTAGAATACCAAACAGAGGTAAAAATACACGTCAGCAAACACTATGCGCCGACAAGAGATAAAGCGGTGTTGTGAGAAAGCATCGCAGGCGAGCCAGAGAGTCCCGCGTCTGATGTGGCATGGCCCTGACGCCTTTGTTGCGCGCTTTTTCATTTGCGAGCAGAAATTACGAAGGCCTGGGCAGAGTCAACCCTGCGTTGCGCAGTTCGCAACGGCACGTTGAGAGATCCTCAACGCACGCTGTATGGGCGGAGACACAGACGGCTCGAGCATGCGAGTGTGAATGTTCGCGCGAGAGAACGTGTCTAATCGGGCGAAACTGCGCAACGTGGCCGTTGAGAACTGCGCAACGCACGGTTGACTCTGCCTGGAGGGGTCGGAGACGATGCGCGTTCCGCAGCAAAGCGCATGCGCCCAGCTGCTAGCAGGTCATCCCGCTCGCTCGCGCCTGCCGACCTACAGTACGTGACCCGCCTTGCCGTATGACTCCGACCGTTCAGCACAGAGGAGCGTTGGCGTGTTGACGTGAAAAGGGGTCTGTTTCTGCGTTCTGGGTCGGAGTATCATGGTCTTTTCTTCAGCCCTAGCATCACTAACCACGTCCACATAATTTTTGATGGATCCGCTGCTTTTTTTTTTATCTCAAACTCCGCCTTTAAACGGTACAACATTTGCTCTAGCTATCTCACTCGGGGATGGGATTCTATAACATTATTATTCGTGCGTGTGATGTGCATTGAGGGAAAAGGATCTTAACGTTGTTTGGAGCTCTCGAGAAAGAGTCTTCCCCTGGTCCTCCTATTTCCTATACATCACGTCGGCCCTAAGAGCTCGAGAGTAAACTTGGCCCAAAATCACTATTTAAACACCACTAGCTTATTTACACTCTACTTTAAACCATTAATATTTCCTTACTTGGTCGCTTCTAGAGCGACGGCCTGGTCAGTGGCTGTCCAAAAGCGTACTCAATCTCATAACCATGCATGACTCCCATCCATTTCGGCCATGGGTTCGCAGTGGACCTTCAATGGTTATTCTCAATAATTTACTTTTTGAAGTCTATTACGAGGAAAAAGGGAGAGAGAACTTACCGCATTGTAAAGTAGTACATATACACAGGACCATATACATTGTCCGCTAATATATCAGCAAATTCGATGAGGCTACATGTAAAGAAATAGTCACCAAGAAATCGTCCAACACCGTCTCGTAGTTGTTCGCTGTACAGAAAACATACTTTCAGATTGTAAGGTATTAATTTTGATTGAATAATAGCTCCTAGACTGTATGAAATTTAAGCTTCGCTGTACACCTTCATAGGACTTTGAAGCAACAACCCAGATTAAATTGGTAGGGTCACGGTGACCGATTATTAAACTGCGGACACCGAGCTCACTGAAAGTGCAAGAAGATGCAAAGCAAACCGTTGATGAAGGTTCAAACAAGGGACTCCCTCACTTTCACTCGATATGAAGGAGGGGCGTGTTTCGGACGAGTTGTCTGACCTTGCTTGCTCCATGGTTTTATTAATTCTCGCGTGTTCAAATTAGTTGCGGATCAGCGTATAATCTCGCTTGAGTATCAACGGAGTAATGCGCAAGATATCCCTTTCATGAATATCCACATCAGCTGTTATTAGATACTTGCAAAGGCTGTGCGCTCCCATTGTTGCGCATACGCAGGGTGGCACGGTAAGTTGTTCACTCCGTGGAAGTAACAGAAGAGCTTTTAAGAGGTACAACAATGAAGGAAAGACTAATGCAACGGCCTAAACGTTGAAGAACCGGCCCTTCTTTTTACTATTGACTTCCACTTGTTGAGCAATCACATCAGTGGTGACTCCAGCAACAGGAACGCACTGTTTTGCCTCTCTGCGGGAGACGGTTAGAGTCCGACGGCGAGAGGCCAGCAGGGGGTGTGGCCAATGGGAAGGTACAGAGGGAAGGTAAGCTTTCCTAAGTTGTTAAAGGAATCTTGCGCGGAAAATTCTTGCACTCTTTCCTAACATGAATATGTCAGTTGTGATCACTGGAAATAGCACACAAAGTTTCACGCATGAAGATTCGGTTTCTGAAGAGAAACAAACGTACAAAAACTACACGTTATGGACCATCGAAGGACCAGGAGGCAGAGCCAGGCGAGGCATGGAAAGAAGACGGCGTTTGGCCGGCTACGTACCAGGCGACGCAATGAGAGAATCGGGTTAAAGCGCGCGATTTCGGAGAGTGGAGACAAATCGATCGATGGAATAGGATGGAGTAGAAGTGTAAGATGTGAATGCAACGAAGCAGAAGGCCAGAAAGAGCTTCTAGTGAATGCACTCCAAGAACCAAGTTTGAGCATCCCCGTCGCCAGCATTCGTGAAAGACGTCCGTGGGCAATTCGAACGCGTAGCAGCCTTTTCGAGTTTTCGAATTTCTAATCAAAACGAAAGCAATACTTCAGTTCTTTTCACTATTATCGTGGATAATGGGTCTCAAGCCAGTGATTTATGCTGAAATAGAATCATGATTTTTTCCGCGCAAGATTCCTTTAAGCATTAACTTCGCAGCAAAAACACCACTTTTCGATAGGGTTATAATCGTGCTGCCTAATGACACCAGGCGCGCCCTTGTCTTCAACACCCATTTATACGTGTCACCTGCTTTAACATGCGTTCGTTATGATAATGTGGCTAATGGCATTGAATCACGTTGTTCGAACGGGATACGCTAAATTTTGACCCCACGCTCTTGTAAAATTGTTGCTCAATCACCGACGAAGTTATACGATACGCCAGACTCGGTTTGTCAGACACAGTTTGATATGCATGAAGAAGAGCGTGCTCGACAAGGGGCGAGTTCCCGAAATAAGGCATGAATGCTTGCATCGACTGTCGATACTGTTCCCTAAACGAAAGTTAGGGTTGGGTAGATAGGGTTCAAATATATCGCACGGAAACTTACCTCGTTTATTAGGGCTTTGTTCTTAGGATCTTCCGCTGAGATCGTATGGTTAAACCAGAATCCATAGCGATACATGTAGTACGGTAACCAGTACGTGCCCTCGTCTTTTACTGTGCCAATTATAGCGCTCACATCTTTTTTGAAGTTACGACTGCGAAGGCGTTCGAACACGTCACCCTATGATTGTGAAGTGTTATCATAAGGGACTGGCTGGGGTCAAAGATCTGCTTACTTGGAAGAAGTTCCTATCAGCGCTGACGGGCACAAAAGCAAACGTCATCGGCAAACCGATGTCACTTGAAACTGAATCGGCTTCTACCTAAAATGGAACTTTTACATGAAAAGAAATGGGGAAGAGCAGAATTCCAGCGTGCAGAAATGATGGAAAGGGAAGTTGACTTGCAAGGGAATGGGATGGAACGTTGAAGGAATATGTGGAATAGGGGCTGAAGACGAAGATGGGGCAGTGGCAAGGAAGGGTCAGCCTTCGCGTTTGGCCCACCATACGATTTCTTATTCATCGTTAAAGAGGTCGCCCACAAATGCGATGAACCCCTCCTCCTCATCACCATGGCTGTTTCCGGATTGTTCGATTCTGAGAACAGCACACACTCCAACTCGATCCACATGCCCCTTTCCTTTGTGAAACGATGGTCGATCGAGAGGGGGAGGGGGAGCGGAAGAGATGGGAAATCAGTGAACCTCAAAGAAGGATTTTAATAAATTTTCTAATTTTATTAGAATTTCTTCCTTTAATCATAATGCTTTGATTTTGCCCACTTCGTACTTCGTTTTGAAAGTTTTTTGCCAAAAGTTCCAAAAAATCCGTCTCTCGGACTCACGTTCCCCTCCGCTTCTAAAAATACGACTCCCTCTCCTGGTAGTGGTCCTAACAACGACCTGGTCTCAACCAGCGTCATCTGAACCTTTCATTCATCTGACGGGTTCTACAACATCAGATTCTTCTGGTAGGATGGATACACTACTTTGTGCGAAGACATGAACCAAAAATAAGTGCATATTTCGGACACACGTTCAACTTTCAGCACGTTTCAAGTGGAGAAGTTATGATGCAACCCAAAAACAGACCGATCAATTTAGAACACTTTGTTCCGAGTAGGACAATGAGAAACCGCTCACTTGTAACTGGACAGCCTTACAGAGAAGTAAAATATCATATCAAATCACAAGGCCCTCGTTTTAAGAATACCCGTGGCATTTGAAATTACTGTTATTACGTATTACCTATAAGCCTCTTCCCCATTCCCCCTCCCACCTCCTCCAAATCAAACTTCAAGCAGTACCATATTTCTATCAGGTCTTTCTTAAACACGTTAAACACTTCCCCGGAATATTTTATTGGTTCTATTTATTTATGTTTGATCCAATCAATTTTAGGCATATTTCCCTCACCTGGATAACACTGGCTGGAGCTGCACGTAGGCAATTCTGGATCGCGGCGGTGTCGGTGCTTCTCGAAGTGCAATTGAGCCGTTTTGCAAGTCTCAACGACAATTCGAGCATGGTGTCCGGCGTTCGGCTTGCCCACGAGTTCATTATCGTTCCACTCTGGAAACATCTCTCATCATTTTTTATGGCGCGCAAAAAGTTGAAGAATTTGCAGCAAAAAATACTTTTCTCTAGCCCAAAAATTGTTTTAGAAAAACCAGAGTTTGGAGGTTGCGCAGAAGTTGGAGGCGGTGTACCTCATTACACCCATAGTGACTCGCCACTGAAGAAGATTCGGTCCTCGTTCCGCCACTTGATGGTGCAATAGATTTTTAGGGCTCCATCAGGGGCGCGCCGCTATCACTCCTCCAGCGCCGTCACTGCCTTTGATAGAGCAGGATCAAAGGCAGTCATAACGAGGCTGGAGACGTAGCGGTTTTGATGACGTCATTGAACACCAGTGGTGTAACGGCGTTAGAAGCTCCTAACCACACCCTCCAGCACGGTGAAAGATTGAGTCAACCAATAACGATAAATGATGTCATCATAACCGCGCCGCACTTCAACCATCGTGATCACTGCCTTTAAGTCTTGGTTTTACCTTTAGAGGAATGAGTGTCTCTGAGGTCTCAAGTAAGTGATCATACCAAAAAGCGTATAGCATAACACAATTGACACATTGTGCGTTGCCGCGCAGCAACCGCGTGCGTCCATTGCGGGCGTTTTTGTTAGTGATGAGAAAATCGTCGTGATTAGTGCAAGGTTGAAAACCGAGAAAAACACCTACATTGGCGATTATTTTGTTGAAGTATGGATAGCTGCCCGGAGCCGCAATATGAGCAGTGGCCGAGGCGGAACCAGCCGATTCACCGAATAGAGTCACACGAGTAGGATCGCCACCAAATGAGCCTTGAATGCATCAATAAAGGATTTTTCATCCAGGACCATAATAAACAATTGCACCCACCAATATTTTCGTGCACCCATTGCAGAGCCAATTGTTGGTCTAACAGACCCATATTTCCTGGTACAGGTGAATCGTCGCCGAGGTAGAGAAAACCGAATGGTCCCAATCTGAAGAGGAGTCGAAACTGATGGAAGCTTTGATAACGAAGTCCCAGAGCGAGATCTTACCTATAGTTTATGTTCACCACAATTGTGTGCTTTTTGGCCGCCAACGCCGTACCGTCGTAGAGATCTAGCGAAGGAGAACCGCTGAAGAAGCCTGAACATACCAGTTACTGAGATTTTCAACTTGATACTTTAGCAGGAAAGGTTTGAGAGACCAGGAATAGCCTGTCCGACAGAGACGCCGACAAACAGCGGCAGCCAAGACACACTTCCTTCTCATCTCTGTCACTTAATTTTCAGATTCCTGACAGAAAATTCGGTGCGAAACTTCCCCTGCGAAAAGGGGCGTGGTTTGGATGAGTTGTGTGCTATTGCCAATACCGCCTTGTCACATGCATATGGCTGGCACAAAGATTGAAACTGTGCATGTTTAGTTAGAGGATGAGCGGCATATAGCCCCCATGACACAAGAATCCGTGGCAAATAGTGCGAGGCGTTGAAGGCAAGCCTCGCAGCGAAGCCTGTTATCATTTCATCTGCCCTCAGTGACTCGTAGGCTTCTTTTGGACACCGAATCAGCCTGGCTGCACGAGCGACGCAGTCTGAACGGCTTGGACTAAACACCGCAAATTTTGTCGCATTGAGACGTCGTGTTCATTTGGCTCACACCGCCCGGACACGACGCAGACACCAAACAGCGTCTAGCCTATTCAGGTGAACTCGTCCGAGCCACGCCTCCTTGCGAAGGAAACGCTAAGTGCTATTCAGAGAGCGCGATGGCACAGTTTGAGGGTTTTAACCATTTCTAGGTCAGTCGAGCCTCGAAGCAGTCCTTGAAGGCAAGAATCAGGATTTATTGGTGGGTTGATTCCACTCAAATGTGAAAGTAGGGATGGGAGGTGGACCGCCAGTGGAGAAAAAAGGAAAGAAAATCCTGAAATACACAGGAAATACGAGCATTTTGCTCTATGCTGTGGAGAAGTTCAAAAGGCAGGCAGGGAGATGAGAGATAATGTGAGCGCGGAGAGCGGTAGAGAAGTCCGAGAAGAGAGAGCATAGCAGATCAACGGCGACGCAGACAAGATATCGAACGGTGGGCGGACCATGTTAAGTTTGGTGGAGTCTGTTAGAAGTCCATGGCGCCTAGGGTCCTAGTGACGCGTTTCGATGTAGAAAGGTGGCGCTACCTTTGCACTTGCGTACCCAGCACTTCTAGCCATGGTAAGGGCTTCTTAGGTGGGTCTGAGCCCGAACTTTGCCTTTTGAACAGCATTGAACCAATTTTTTTCGCATTGTTTTTTTTCGCACTTGAAAAGCACCTCCTCTTACTAATATAACATGGCGCCACCACACGCCACGACGAAACTCAAAAACAAAGGATAGGGCGCTATTTGATGAAAACAAATATGAGGTTTCGCCATACGTAATTGTGGGTTTTTGCAGTAAGCAGGTGTTTTTTCTTCGCTTTTTAGTGAAAATGGCGCCGGTTTGCTCGGTCCCCTATTTTGAGGTGAGACTGAACAAGACAGCACAAAATAAATTGCCATGTGTAATCTGAAGAAAATCATTATATCTCATGTCAAGAAATTCGCACATATCACGAAAACGGTTGGTAGGCGATTATTAGCTGGCAGTCAACAGCGTGAATGTGTTAAAATCTTTTTACAAATAAGATATCTCGGATTAAAATCCTTCGCACTCTGCTTCTAACAAATTTCCTGTAAAACAAAAAAGGATTGTAGCTCACCTCCTCCGAAAATCCAGACAATAACAGAACCATCGTGATTTGCCGGTACCCATATATTCATATTCAAGCAATCCTCACTGATTCCCTAAAAGGAAACGTATAGCTGAGAAAATAAGTAGTGCAAGCCATGACATTCTGAAAAAGCGGCCTTCACAGTCCTTTTTGCGCGAATTTGCCGCTTGTCGCCCGCGGCGGTGGTGGTTTACCTATTCACTGTCCCCTTTAGATCATCTTACAATCCTAAATTTGCCTACCGCTTGCTTCACAAATATGAATTTTCTAGCAAATTTGAGCCCACTATAATTCGTGAACTCCTGAATTGAAGCCGATAGTAATGTTTCATATGTACACATCAAAGATTCCACAAATGGACAACAAAACAGTGAGGTCTTCTTCTCAGCAGAGTTCACAGATAGAGCAAACCCGTGATAGGTGCACTTTACGATGACCTTTAGAACCAACTCCATAATGAATAAATTCGTACATTTGGAGGATTCCACATTTCGGCACCGGGAAACTGCGGGAATGCGGTGTCGATGGTAAGGAAACACGTCCTTGCAGGAGTCCGAGCTTCCAATTCGCCTGAAATTCGTTTATTATTTTTCTTAGCTGATTATGCATCTGATCATCTCTCCATTAATCCATTTGTAGCGGCTACGGTCGACCTTGGATGGCAGGAGTGACGCGCACGAGGATCAAGGGCGTGAGATCAGGGACCGTGAGCAGCGAACATCGACCAGGTATGGGGATATATCCCGACGACCGTATGCAGCAATTTTAAAAGTCGTCGGGGTATAACCTCATCCCCTACCGTAGCTAGCTTCATACGGTCCCAGAACCAGGCTATGCGATCCGGCACTGCGCAGCATAGCTGCATTTGGATGATAAATGTGGAAGGAAAAGCGGTAGCGCTTACAAGGAGGTCTTTCAGGACATGGAGCGCTTTTTCGAAATGGTTTTCTGCATGTTGTAGGGGCTCATGCGAGGAACACAGAACCATGATCCATTTTTCCTGAACGCCTCCAGGAATGTCAAAACAGTGGTGAAGAAATGGTCCAGAGTTCGATCCCCGGTGATGACTAATTTTTGCAATATAGTTTGGCGCCCCAGATTGCCGCCAAATGGGCGCCATCGTCGAGAATAGATGTCATTGTCGTGTTTTGCGGCAATTTGGAGGCGCCAACATAAATTGCAAAAATTTGTCATCACGGAGGATCGAACTTTGGACCATTTCTTCCCCGCTGTTTTGACATTCCTGGGGCGTTCAGGAAAAATGGACCATGGTTCTGTGTTCCTCACATGAGCCTCTACAACATGCAGAAAACCATTTTGAAAAACGCTCCATGTCCTGAAAGGCCTCTTTGTTAGAATCAACCAGTCTCTTTGAGATAACACACGAATTCAGATTCTCATCATAATTATAGTATAATAATAATTCAATAAAAATAATTCAACTAGACAATGTGTTGGGGAAGTTAGATGATGTCCTACTTAAAAGCAGATGCTTCGAAAATTTTGACTTTGAAGAAGGGGTAGTGGTGTATACAGGGGTGGCCAAAAAAAAGAGACACTTTGCCCATGGCGCACATCATCGAACTTTTCGTCGCACAGGAGTGCCGATGTTAATGAAAGTTTTACAGAAGCAGCCCTCCTTCGCTGTCCCCGCCGTCTCCAGAATATGACGTCATCTACCGCCACCGTCGAGCTCAACGAGGCTTACC